TGTCCCCCCCACGGGGTGGCGGCACCACCAGCCGTTGATGGCGTCTCTCCCCGCCTTAGATCACCATCTACGAGCTGGAGAATTTCCAGGGGAAGAAGTGCGAGCTGACGGAGGAGCTCCCCAACATCACCGAGAAAGACCTGGAGAAGGTGGGCTCCATCCAGGTGGAGTCTGGCCCGTAAGTCCGGGGTGTGGAGGACGGAGAAGCCCTGGCGGGGGGACAGGGGATGGGACAGGGAGAGCATCCCCCTGCAGCGCTGCCTCGTGCTGGGGTGCTCCCCCCGTGCGTGGGTGGCCGTGCCGTCCCCGACGCTCTGGTCCTGCAGGTGGCTGGGCTTCGAGCGGCAAGCCTTCGCCGGGGAGCAGTTCGTGCTGGAGAAGGGGGACTACCCGCGCTGGGACTCCTGGTCCAACAGCCACAACAGCGACAGCCTGATGTCCATCCGTCCCCTCCAGATCGTGAGTAGCGGTTGTGTGGGGGTGTCTGTGCCCCCCCGGGACAAGCAGCACGGCCACGGCGATGGGCGCCGCCAGGCTGGGAGGCTCTCGGGGGGCTGGGGGCACGCAGGGCAGGGCAGCCCCTGACCCGTGCGTTCTTGCAGGACAGCCCCGACCACAAGATCCACCTCTTTGAGAACGCGGGCTACACCGGGCGGAAGATGGAGATCGTGGACGATGACGTCCCCAGCCTCTGGGCCCACGGCTTCCAGGACCGCGTGGCCAGCGTCAGGGCCCTGAATGGAACGTAAGGACGGTGGCACTGGGGGCGTGTGGGGACACCCTAAGGAGGTCCCATCCCGTGGCACCGTGGCTGGTCCCCGTGGGGCGGTGGCAGGGATGCCTGGCACAGACGCTGCAGCGGGGATGGGGCGGCTGTCCCTTTGATGCTGCTCATGCCCGTCATGTCCCTTGCTCTCTCCCCGCTGCCACCCTTTCCCTGGCCCGCAGGGACTGAGGGGGACCAAGGCAGTGTCACTAGGGCTGTGTGACGGCTCCTTGCCCTGACCCAGGGCTCTGCCGGGGCCCCTTCTCTGCGTTGGGCTCTCCCACCCCTCCCGGCACCACGGCGTTTCCCACCCCGGCTCTGCGGCTGCAGCCTTGTTGCGGTGACACGGCGGTGATGGAGCAGTGGTCCCGGGCAGCGCTGCAGAG